ATACATCAGGCATCCGCAAATATTTAAAGAGTTAGCTCCCGTACACGTGCTATACCGGTTGAACAGATACAGCAATTATTTCATAAACTTGGTTACCCTGAACTTCAACATTAACAGACTCTCTTTGAACCTATTTTTGTTTGGGCAACTAAATCATTAAAATCATAAGTTAAACATGTGGCGCTGATAACTACGAATGCCGCATGGTCTGCCTTTGTTAAAAACTACTGCTAAATACATACATATGTATGCATGTATTCATATACTTCTGTCTTATTTGAGACTTTGTTTCATTTGTATTTTAGAGGTTAAAGCTTAGTATCCAGCTCTTAAGAAAACGGTCAAGAAAAAATTGCCATTATTTCGCGTGTGTGTCCAAGGAATTTTGACATTTTTGATAACGCACAGCCTGTTGCCTCACTCTTTCCTCAAGAAATAATGGAACGGGCATATATTTCTGTTGCAAACCTGGGTTGCCTTGAGCTCTTTTTTCACAAAACCGTAGTAGAAAGCGTACTAAATTTCTGAAGAACTGCGTACTGCCTTAAGGAAATTTGACTCAAGAAAATTTCTTAGCCATTTCTTGTACGTCATTTTATATGGAGTTTTTGCTTTTCTTAAGAGCTGGATACTAAGCTTAATCTTGAGTTACTTGCAAGAAATAATCCATACTTGCAAGATATAATCAAATGTTGTGCATACAAAATTGTTAGTGTTGTATTATAAAAAATATTTTAATCGGAGTTTTTAATTAAATGAATTGACTTTAACTACTACAAATGACTTTAACAATACAAATGTGTTTTATTACATAGTTTTTTCGGTCCAAGAAAGCTCAAAAGGTCTTGGCAGAGTTCTTTGTTTTTATGTACACATGTATGGAAGTATATAAGACTGGTATGTATTTGCAGGAGGTTAAATTTAATAAATGAAGGTATGAGTAAACTGTATGCTTTGAAAACATACCAATTGGCCAAGCAAGTATACATAAATAGGCATATACATAAATTCAGCACAACCTTTGTAATTAAACAGGAACCAGTGGCATCATACTTAATAGTGCGATTCATAAAACGTCGCAGGGTGGCATTTTTAGCGAAATTGCGAACAAAGTTGTATGAACGACCTATCGCAACTCCGAATTGTAAATGAAATATTTTTTAAAAATGCCGCGCGTTAGAGAAAAATGGAAACTTTTTACAATTACATTTCGATGCAGCCTTAACTGATACACTTTTTCTTGAAGTATTTGAATACAATAAAAAAACATGTGTTTCGCGACTTTGACTTTGCAATAATTGCCAGCTCAAATATTACGGCAATGTCGCAAGAAAGTTTCAACATTTGGAACAACTTGGCGACGTTTCATAAATCCCACTAATGTAAAGTGACCAGAATTTTTTAGCATTCCAGGAGGACAAATACTCCACATTGAAAACACAAAAAATTTGTCTTATAATTATTTTCACACATAAATAACGAATACGTTAACA